AAAAAAAAAAAAAAAAGAAAAACAGTGACACTGAATTTTTTTTCAGCACAATTTTTTAGTTTCGTTTCCTTTTTAACCATTCATTTTGTTCATCACTTTTTTCCCACCCTCCCTCCCCACCCCCCCGCTTCTTCCTCCCTTTCTTCTTCTTCTTCTTCTTCTTCTTATAATTTCTTATTTTACTTTTTAAGCTTTAAAAAAAAAATTTTTTTTATCAGGCATTGGTCTTTTATTTTAAATTTTTGCAAAAAAAAAAATAAAAAATAAAAAAGAACAAAAATCAGGTAAAATTACAATTGTTCATCACCCGATTTTGGTGATTTGGGCAGAACAGAATCATTGATGGTTTAATTGTTTGTTTGTTGGCAGTCATTGTTCTATAAACAAATAATTTTTCGAAATTACAGAAAAAATAAAAACAAAAATTTCTTTTCTGCAACTACAAATGTCTTTTGATTTTTTTTGTTGATAAACTTAAACAACAGTATCAAACTGGAGGACAGTGATTTTTTTTTTTTTTTTGTTCAATTGTTACTTATCACATTTATTTATGTGTTTTTTTTTTTAAATTTCCAAATGATTAAATGTAATTTTTGTATGGTTTTCTGTACCAATTGATCGATGAACGGACGATACAGTTCTGCTGTTTCTGTGTGCATATATATTTGGTGTTATAAACGGCTGTAACGAGGATTACTTCTTTTCCCTTTTTTCTTCCCAGCTATTTATTTATTTTTTTTTTCTTGAGTATAGACTTGAAAAAAAAAAAAGAAATTTTAAACGCTTAATTTAAGTTTTTTTAGGGTCTATTCAACCGACTAATTAATCGGTGGATATAGATTTGGTGAAGAAAAATACTGTTTTACAGTCTGTGGTAACGTTCCGTAGATCAACACTGAAGAAAAACAGAGGTATTAGATCCAGTTGTTGTAGCCGGTGATGACTTCTAAGGGCAAAGAACTGTACAATACAATAAAACGATCTTTGACATTAACATCGCCACCATTTGGTGCTGGTACCTCATCATCCGGAATCCTGTCGAATGGTGCTAGATATTCTGGCGGTGCTACCAGCAGCAAGCAGTGGATTCATCCTCCAGGTTTTTTTTTCTTGTTTATTTGAATAGTAGACAGAAGAAAGAATGTAAAATTGTTGAATTAATCTGTATAGTATTTTTTGTTTATCTTTCATCATATAATTAGCAGTTAGCACTCAAAACTTGTCAAACCCTATTCATCCTGAGTTTTTTTCTTTTTTTTGATAACCAGAACAACCATAGGTCCACCGATTTTTATGTTAACATTCTTAGGCATTTTTTACATATGTTTACCGTTGTCAGTTAATTTTTTGTCTACAAAAATACTCCAGGTTTTGGTAGGAACAAAACTTACTGTTAAAAGCAAGTCAAGACTTGAGATAATCTTCATAACGTATTTTCTATTTAGATATTTTAATTAATGGTCGAGTTGAATATTCGCTAAAATTATTGGGTGTAACAGAAGTGAACGAACCGAAAGGTACTCCTGTTATTCGAGATGCAATTTGTGCGATACGTTTTCAGTTACAGGTTATATATCCTTTAGTTTTTGCGTTGTTTTGTTGAGAATCAGAAAAAAAAAACGATAACTGTGCTCAACAAACACCATACAGTCCTACTGTTATAAAAATTTTGTTTCTATTGCATGCTTATCTACTTTGTCTTGAGTCAAAACTTTTTATCTTGGATTTTGGAGGAACGGGCACAATATTGAGCTTAGGGACCGATATTTCTGTTCTGTTTTGCGGGCTTATATTTCTCTTTCTCTCATTCTTAATACTTGTTAAATGAACAGTGTAAGTTGTTGAAGTAATAAGTGTAGGATAATTCCTTTTCAGTTTTTATGAAGCCCAGTTTTGTTAACGATTCTAAGTCTTGTATTTCAGGTGAACAAAGGCATCACGGGACATTCAGGTTCAAAGCTGAAGAAAGTTGACATTCATATTAACGTTGATGGTTTAACTGTTATTGATACCAAAACAAAAATGGTGCTCCATAAATTCCCGTTACATAAGATATCATTTTGCGCTGACGATAAACAGGTTATCTGGATTTCACATGTTACAATTTTTTACATAGATTGGAGTGGATTATATTTAACTATCGTCACCGAAAAAAGTCTGTGCCTTTACAATATAACTTATAACACTGCAGTTGTTAAGGTTACCATTTTTTGTGGCAAAAGTAACATTTTCGTGTATATTTTACATAAAATTTTAGGATAAACGTGTCTTTTCGTTTATAGCAAAGGATGACTCCTCACCTCGGCATAAATGCTTTGTTTTTTTAAGTGATAAGCTTGCAGAACAAATAACTCTTACTGTTGGAGAGGCATTTGATCTTGCGTATCAAGTAATCTATTCCGTTATATAACACAATTTTTCTTTCCTTTATATGATGCCTGCAGAATTGTAGTTAATTCCTTTTTATACTGCTACTTTCATTATTAATATTCCCTTTTATTGTTGGGGAAGACTTGCTTTTTTTATTCGATATAATTCAAATGTTGCAGAAGTTTGTGGAAAAAAACGGCAGAGATTTGGAAAACAGGAAGCAAGTGATTGTGTTAAGGAAAAGAATTGCAGAACTTGAGAGTGAGAATAATGAGTTGAAAGAGAAACTTGCCGTAGCACTTCGCCAAACAAGTAATAATGTAAGTTGCAATCGTTGTCTATTTCTTCTTTCTTTTTTAATTTATGAATTATCTTCTTGGTTAGTTTTTTCATTATAAAAGTTTTATAATTTCAGTACGATTCGAAAGCGCCTTCTTTACCAACGTCTCCCGTACCAAGCCAACCACCAAACCTTTTGACAACTGCTCCTGTTCCATCGTATTCAGCACCTACTGCTGCAACAACCGGATTAGTACCTCCTGGTCAGCTTCCATTTCTTCAACCTCCCCCATCCTGCCCGAAAAGAAGTCATAACTGTTCATCGAGCAATATGGCAATCATGGAAGACTTGAGCAATAATGCGCCTGATGTTAGTTAGACTACAACTTTTGTTTGAAGTTCAAATATGGCGAGATGGAGGGCATATTTTACTCAGTTTAGGTTGGGAAGAAGCTAGAAAACCTTTGTTTGGATAAATTTGAAGACATATTCGATAACGAATTTGATCCAAGAGCTGATGAAAAGAAAAAGGCGGAGGAGCTGAAAGGAAAAGACCAGTTTGGTCTTGATCCATTTGGTGATGCAATTTTAGACGAAATGCTTGTAAGTTGAGCGTTCAAATTTACCATTAAGATCAATTATTTGTTTATCGGAGGTGTTTTTCTTTAGAATGCATTTTGCTAGACACCTCTGGAACCACAGATCAGTTTTAAAAATATAGCTAGCAATCTTACAACTGATTCTGCTTTACAGAAAACACAAGCTAATGGTGTAGAAAAACCTGCAGGAGCTGAACTCACATCTCATGAACCAACAGCCGAGCAGTTTGAACAGATGCTTTCTATAGTGCGAGTTAAACTTAATATTAGAGCCTTTTTTGAAAGAAGTAGAGGGGGTTTCTTCCGCAAAACGTTCTGTTCAATTAGCTTTCAGAAATTTAAGTGCATTCACTACGTATTTGCATCAGACTTTTTTTCATTTTGGTGATAAATTTCCAGGTAGACAGGCGACTTGCGGAAATGAGAGATGGATTTGGAGGTGGCCATTTGGCGGTTGGAGATACTGGAGACTCTGCACGAGACTTACAACATATTTACGGTGTCCCTTCCAATCAGAGTCTTAATAGCAGTCCAGGGTCCAAAGGCCCTAATTCTCAACCAGACGGTTCCCCAATGCCAAAGTCTTAAAGACGGTATAAATAGAGATGATATTACACCATTTTGCCGACAATTCTCGTCGCACCTGTCGCCATCGGTGAATCAAACTTTCATGTCTGAGAACGAAGTATGTACAGCACTGACTCCTCCCGACAGTATCTAATACCTGTTGACATCTCTGGGACTTCAGCACACCCATGACTTTATTAACTGTCTGTACCGATGTGTAATATTTGCTTATATTAGTTATAATAACTTATTGTTATCTTCTTCTTTACTTACAGAGCAGCGTTTTACATTTTTGGAGGGCATCAGTTTTTAGAGCACACTAGCAGCTAGCAACCCTTAGGCTAAGATGTTTCAGAAAAACCGGTTTCTAGATAGCAATGAATAGCAAATATAAATAATTTACAGAAAAGAGCTGTTCACCAAACACTAGGAGTTAACATAAGAAAGTAGAGGTTCAGGAGCGCAAGCTTACTGTAAAAACACCTGTTTATAGTACTTCAGCAGGTCTCTCTCAAAAGTGGTTTGAAAAAACTCTTGGTTGGCAGCAGACAGCGTTCCTCCTCACTAAGATCAACTGTAGGATCCTCATCGAGTCGCAGCCCAACCAGTAATGAGAATCTTATCTGCTTGTGCAAATAAGATTACTATGGAGTTATAAACATGTCAAAGAGCACACAGATGTAGAAGACAACAGAGACCTCAGTGTCCTGTCTCAAAAACAAGCTGTAAACAAAGACATGATGAGTTAGAACGGGTTTATACTAGCTCTCTTTCCATGTAAAAAACATTAACAAAAGGCGAGTGGCGCAAATATAACAAAAATTTGAGATCAAATTAGGTAATCTTTTCAAAAGCAGTGCAACAATAGGAAAACACAGAACTTCAATAAATGGGTATCGGACTCAACACTATACAAATATAATATACGGGGAAGGGTATGTTAAATGGTATCCAAGTAAAATATGACCTTTTAGGTTAAATAAATTAAAGAATAAAAGATATCTTCCAAATAGGGTTACAATAATTTGCAACATCAAAATGAAACCTAATTTCAACTCTTACTCTGATGATTTCAAAAATATACCCAGCCTCAATGAATGGCTTTTGAAAAAAGCTTGATTGTAACCAATAAAACACCAGGAATATATTACAAACGGAAAAAATTGCCTATAAGTTCCTATACTAGAAAACCAAACAGCACAGAAGGACTTCTTGACTCAAATCTTAAACAGAAACCTAGCGAAATTGGAACTTCTCCCCTGGCAGTGGCTTAAAAATCACAACAACTGAGAAGTAACAAACTAACAAGAAGAATTAAATGTTTTCAAAGATATTCTGCAGCGTTTTGAAACTGTCGGAAAATTGTGCACGAATGCTACCCGTAGAGGAATGACGAGATGACAAATGGAGTAGAAATGTTGATATCAAATCCAGACACTTGCTCACCAAACTTTTTCTAAATAATAAAAGTTAAGAACAATAAATCTCTCTCACGACTATCAATAAAAATATGCAAAGAAAGAACATTTGAATATTAGAAAACCTCTGGTCAACTGGAAAAGACTGCCTGTTTGCCGCAAACCGATTTAAAACTTTCAGCGCTGACTGCATAATGTATGAGCAGGCTTGTTCGTTATTTCTCCAAAAAGGATCCTTCCTATAAAACAAAAAAGAACTGAAACCAATTTGTATAAAGGGTTACTTTCTGCTACACTTTCGCTATTTAAATATTAAAATTGAAAAGAAATCAATTTATTGAAGGTAAACAGATACCTGAAGCAGATGTTGAGAACGTCAAGAAGCATAGGAAGTGGAGCATGAGTTAAAACACCAAGTGTGTCTAACATTGAAACCGGAAATCCTTCACGAAGGCCACGGTTCAATAAATCACATAATATTGTCTCTGAAAAAAATAACCATAGAAATCTGGACCAAATAACTGAACCTATACAGAAATTAATCTCAGGAAATCAACGAATAATATAAATAAAATTAGGTTTCTTCAGTATGAAAAAACAGAAGTAAATAAAGGTTACAACATTAGTATTTACGCAGTTTTGAAAGAGTCTATTTCTACCAAGTGGGAAGTATTTTGGAGAAGAGGAATAGTGCTTATAATAATAAGCAAGCTTAGTTCCTAGCCGTTGTACCCGAGTTTCCGCGGAATCATTCTGACTACTCGAGAGCTCTGAAATAAACGAAGATGTAAAAAATAAACTTTATAATTTTTTCCTAAAATTCTTTAAAAAAAAATCAAATAATAATCTATGTCAAGTATATGATATACCAACAAATATGCGAAAAGATATTTTTCTCTTGTATTTTGCAGTGTACTTTAGACAAAAAACAAATAAAAAATAAAGTATTAACATCTGTCCGACAGCACTTCTTTTGTCCAACAGATATTCGCTTAGAAAAAAACAATGGTACTAGAAACAAAAGAAAATACCTTGGTCAACAATCTGTTCACAAAGGCTTTCAACCGCATCCTTATCGTATGTTGCAGAACAATGACACAATGCCAACTGGATATTTGGAAGGCAAAATGGAATTGCAAACTCTTCAAATAACTCTTGAACTGTATACAAGCGTTTTTCCAATCTCCCTAACGCATTGATCACTGTTGAATTCCTTGGCAGACGAGAAATCTCGTCCCTAAATTTCATTTGAGTGAAGTATAAGGCAGGTGAATTCCACAAATAAATTAAACCAACGTAACAAAAGAAAAATCCACGTAATGAACCGATACTTTGCTGCTAACTGGACTTGAGCAACGTCTAATTTGTCTCTTATATCCTGCAAAAACTCATGGGCTTCTGGGTTCATCTGTTTTTCAAAGCCAACTGCAGACTGCGCACACATGGCTGCCTGAGAAAGATAGGCTACACGTCGTCTAGTATCAAAGGCTTCACTAAAAACTCAAAATATTTAGCTTAAATGGGTGCAGTAACCAATACAAGAAAACTCAGATTTCATAGTGAAAAGTATAACTGACGTTTCCCTTTGTGCAAGCCCAAATAACAATTTCGCGGCTTTCCAGTAATCGCCGTTTTTCTCATGAAACCTCCAAAGAAGGTCAAGGTAACGATTAGAAGCTCCTTCTTCCACCTTCCTATGAAGGAATGTTTCTAAGTACGGCGACTTACTCTGCAAAAATTTAGACTCTTAGTCTTAGACACCTAAGCAAGAAACAAAACCCATTGCAAATACTGGTTTGCCATTCTGTTTCACTAAAACACTATTTTCGAGAAGTTATTACAAAAAACCTTTTATTTTGACTAGCAGCAAAAAGCTATAAATACATAGATTGTCTCATGTCAACCGCCCTAGTTTTGCAATTTTTCCGATTTTACTACAAACTCAACAGTTCGTAAGGTTAATTTAACCATCGATTTCTATGGCCATAGAACAATGTTCTGTCTGATACCCCTCAAAGTGACAATGCGTCAAATTTTGAAAAGCACTGATTCAAGTCCAAAGAAAAAAAAATGAAGTAAAATGTTATTCCCTCTAAAGTGCAGTGAAAAGCTACACAAAACTGTCTCAAACTAATATATAAACAGGCGAAGCTTAAGATAAAACCGTCAAATTTACAGTGAAAGACTTCTTGAAGACTAAAGTATTTTTAACGACAAACCCTAGTTGTACCTAATCGACTTTGATGCCCAGTTGGACATAAAAATGATGTGCTCAAAATGTGTACTGTAATGCAATTCTAGCGATTCTACCGTTTAATCCTCGCCTCAAGACCCAAAAACCTTCTGTTATTTAGACTAAAAAATTATTGTTTTATAAAAAGCGAAATTATACACAAAACCGTCTTTCTAGCTTAAAAAACCACTAGCTTTTAAGCTAGTTTTAAAGTTGACGGCTTCCATTAGCCTATTACTTATTAAGGCAAAATAAAATCTCAAAAAGCAGCAAAATTTAGAAGAAATTTTTCTTAAAATAAACTTTAAATCACTAGATCTTTTAAAGAAAGGTCGGAGTTGCAAATTCAAGATTTATCCATGAATTAGGAGAGCAAATATATTTGACAATGTGGAAATGTCAATCCTCCTTGGAAAGCAGTTGCAGAAATGTATTTCTGCCTTAAACACTTGCTGCCAGTTCTCAACTGTGTAAATATTAAAGCAATCTGACAAATTAGTATTCAAAAATGCGCGATTTGACGTGGAATAAATTACAGCCATACATGCTTCTCTAATTATTATTTCAACCAGTCGTTGAAAAAAAGATAACCTGGAGCAAGATATTGCTCAAGTCATTATCTAAGAGCCACTTAAATATAGCCACATTAGCCAGTTCGTCTTTTGACTTTAAAACAGCGTTTATGATCAGATCTCTCCGAGTAATTGCTGAAGGGCGTCCTAATTCAGTTCTTGAGCTATCTTCACCAACAATCCGGTCAAGCGCATCGGTAATACACTTGTAATCCTCTTTTCTAAAAACAGTTATTTAATAGTAACATGAGTAAGAAAAGTCGCAAAACCAAAATGCATTAAATCAAACCTTTTAACATATGCCTGCTGTGCCAGAGCATCTCCACCAGACCTGCTCCTATACGCTATAAGGGCAAGTAGCTTTGAGTCGTCGCGTTCCGCTCTAGCCAAGGCTAAATCCACAATTCCTTCCAGACAGTCAACTGAAATAACGTTATCTAAAGCAACAAAACGACCAAGAAAGAAAATTCGATGACGGATAAAAATTTACTTCCACCAATAACATTCTAAAAATATGGAACAATTCAGCAAAAAAAAAAAAACACAGTCAAACCATGTACAAAAGCGACCAAATATATATTACGTCTAACCGCGAAAATGCTAGATTGTACGGGGCAAATGCATAAATTTTAGTTAGATCGGAATGACCAGTTTTTGCTGATTAAAGGAAATGGAAGAAAATGTTTCCAGAAAAACTCCTTTAAACTATTTAAATTATTAGTTGCATTATTTATTTCGTCTAAAAAAGCAGCGGAAAGCTCTTAATCTCATTCCATTAGTCAAGTAGAGCCAAAAAGCCCTCTTAAAAAAACAAAACCGAGTTTGTTTCAAAACAGACTTTTTTTTTGAATTTAAGCACTGAAAAACTATCACAAAGAATATTATACGGAAAAGCCTTAAACTGCAACCCTCAACGACCATGTCATAACCTCATAATCAATTTTAAAATATTGATAGTATTAATCGCTAGAGTGCTGGTCATTATTAATTTAAAAGTTCAATCAAAAAACACTAACTAATCCATACCTTCAAATAATAAAGTACATATAAGCGGTAAATTTATGTTTTGTACACCAATTGTCAAGAGTCGTACGGCCTCGGAAAGTAAATGCTCCCGTGCAGCACACGGTTCCATGTGCCGAGCTTCTTCAACCATTTCTGTGGCCTAAATAGCTTTAAATCAAGAAAACCGCAGCTTTTCAAGAGAAGAAAATCTGTCAGAAAGCCTATCATGCTGAAGAAGACAAATAAAAAAGTAAGAAAAAGCTTAATAAACTGTTTAATCTTTTCAAGAACAAAGTCACCAATTTCAAAAACCCAGCAATTTTCTACAAATTTCCTTCTTTTCTTTTTAAATGAGAACTGAACTTTTGCTTTTCAAAAGTTATAATAATCCCAGTACAAATTAATAACAAGCTTCATCAAAACAAACTTTTGCTGCAGTGGCATCATCATCTGAAAAAAGAGTAGGACAACGCCTTCTCAACTCCTCACAAATGACATCTGTTGTAGCATTGTCACCCAAATAATATCTGATCAAACAGGTGATCAATTCGGCGCACAACTGGAATGGAATAAATTAGTGCGGGAAATCTGCATATAATGAAGAAATAAAGCCTAAAACCACAAAACAAAATTGATAAGAAAAGTGCTACGCATGACTGTGATTCTCAGCATACTAAATGCATAAAGATATAAAATTCCAACTTTCGTTGAAAGTTGTGTAATTCTGAAGTCTTAACAGAGAGACAGAAAAAAAACTTACGTGGGCTCCATTAACAACCAAAGTAGCAAAAGACGTCTCACATAGCTGATTATGGATGTTCTGAGACAGCTGAGCTGTTATAATATGAAACTGATGGTCACTTAATATACTCCATAATGAAAGAATCTCAACAGTCAACGACAATAATTCGTAAAAGTTCAATAGTGATTTACGCTCCTCTTGTAAATTCGTGCCTTAAAAAGTAAAAAATGAAGAACCATGAACTTATTTGGAGTCCCTCCTATATTCTATATTTTCTAAGCAAAACCTCTTGCTCCATCAAGTTGTCTGTCGCCCTGCTCATTAACAGGCTGTATTTCCCGTGCACTTCCAAGCAGAGCATACTCGTCAACAGCCTTTTTATACAGAATCAGTCGTGAAACCAAAAAATCCAAACTATTCCGAGAAACCGAACTCATTAGCTAAAAAATTAATAAGAAAAAAAATGCTAAAATCTCGAAAATGAAAAAAATTTGCAGTTTACGCAGGTTTACCAAACCATGTAAGCCATAATGATGAAGAAAGCAAACCTCTTCGTGGTCGTTTCTATAACAAAGAGGAGTCGACCATATGTCGCCAAGTAAACGAGAAAAGTAAAGATAAAGAGCATCATGACGACAGCTCATCTAAAACATCAACTTTTCAAATTTACACCATAGTTAAAAGAATAAATATTGAGATGAACAAAAAGCCAAAATTACAGATTGCGCAGAATGCAAAGAATCTTCAGTCGGTAACAAAGGCGTATGGAAAGTGCTGGGAATTTGAGGGGACCGTACTGCATTTCTTATTTGCTGTGGAGTTGATGCTTGCAAAGGGGCTGAAATAATTAGCTACATCACTAGAAGCTGGTGATTTAAAAGCAGATTTATTATGACAGTCTTAAAATATATAAGAAAAAACACTTGAAGAATGAAGGAAGTTACATCGCATGTGGAATGTAAGGTCCGCTATCGAAGCATTGCGGAAGGACTGATGAGCATACCCAGAAACAGGGGAACGAAATGATATAGCATTTCTACTGTCACCTCCACTCGATAATTCCACTCCTAATGAATAAAACATGCGAAGGGCAGAATCCTATAAATAGGACATTTCAAGAGTCATGCAGATTCACCACTTTTATGCTTCATCCTAAGCTATTCCCACAAGTAAACTATACGATTCTACTAATTTTTGCATTTTACCCTGATACACACGTCGGAAGGTTCATTGCTGCACACAATGGTTAGAGACATGACAGAAGCGTTTAAAGAGCCATGAAGTTGTACAAAGAATGATAATTGAGGAGAATCGGTACCATACTGCCGCAATATCTCTCTGAGTATATCAATTGGTAACCGTTGTTCAGATATTGCAATTCCCTTAAACACAGAAAAATCATTCTATTCTGGAAAGTTACAATTCGACAGTACATCGGTACTCATCATTCAAAATAAGTTGAAGTATCAGCAAAACCTTCCCCCCGACAACAATAGAATAGACTTACCTTTCCAGTAAGTATGAAAAGTTTCTGTTCAGGCATGTCGGACTGTGTTACCACAACAGGTGGGAAGACCTTCAAAAGTTTGTTTGCAGACGTCGGCTGAAAAAAATTGAAATTTTGAATAAATTGACATTTATCTAGCAAAATGTCAAGTAAAAAGTCAGTAAGAAAAAAGATTCTTAATCATACAGGTCGAGTTTCCGTAGAAGTCGGTTCATTTACCCATAACACAGTGCTGTCCAGTGGAAATTGAGCCTAAATATTATTAATTGTAAATTATTATCTTGGAAGTTAATAAACTGCCAATATTTTACATCTGAAAAAGTTATTTGCTTCAAAACAGACCACGTTCTCAGTCAGGCAATCTTGAAAGCCAAAATTTGAAGAGGAATACATCCACACCACAGATTCATCTTCTCTACCAAACGTAGCTGCCATTATGTCCGTTTCTGAAAACAACAGTGGGTAAAAGAACTGCTTAAGAAAAGAAAGTCAAAGCTCCGTTCCAAACCAGAGAAAAAATTTAAAACTAATTCTAAATAAGAAACATAATCACCTCGAAATGAAAACGCATCATAAACAGTAAACGGATGAAGCGAATGGCTTAATGTACCGAAGCCAGGAGGTATGCGAACATGTCTCAACCGCAGATCACAAGGTCGCATGCCATCCTGAAAAACCAGTTATTTAAATCGAAATATTTTTTGAATTTAAAGTAAGAGTTGAACGGCATACACACTAACCACATTTGGCAAGCAAGACGGTACAGCATTAGGTGTCGCAGTTAAAACACTTTGAGGAGTTGGTCCAAAACAAGTGAAATATAGCCGAACTCCTTTTCTAGTCACCGCAACCTAAACATGACTAGAAATATCAAGTCATTAAATAAAAGCACACAATTTGGAGACCTGAGAGCAGTAAAAACAAATTTAATTGAAATAAGGTGAGCAAAAGTCGGCTTGAGAACTTCAATAAAAAGGACATTTGATGTTTATGCAGACTACCAACCAGATGCAAGTAATGTGACTTTGTTGCCGGAATAGCTGAGATGCTAATAACGTCTGAAAAGAAAGACGCATCCACTGTCCGACACTCTACAGCAGCTCGTTCCTACAACCATTATTATAATAAGCAAGGTAAAAATGAAGAAAATAACCATTTAGGTCTTTTTTAATACCTGTATCTGGCCATGGGTTAAAGAAGCAACTTTACTGATTGTAGTCCCCTTATCACCCAAATCAAAAACTTGTATAGAACCATTTAACGTTAAAACGTATAAGATATGTCTCGTGTCGTCAACACATAATCGCATTATTTTTTCTGCAAATAGTGCACTCAGGACGAGAAGCGGACCGATCTTCAACTTTTACCTAACTATGTAGCATGAACTTTTTTATTTCAGTGTAAATTACGATTAAAAAAATACACTCCATGTAAGAAGGTAAATTCAAAACAAAAATGAAAAACAAATGCAAGAAAAAAGCATTGAAACCAAATTTTTTAACCTTTCACTGTCTTTCACTGCATGCTTTTCAAAAAATAGCTTTAAATTAACGATTTTTCAAAATATTACCTTCTTTACCAGTCAGAATGGAAAAAGACGGTAATAAATAGTTGATTAAACCCTTTGATCGATTTAGCTTTTTACATTTCCGTTGAAACCAACTTTTATCCTAAAACGCAATAAAGTTAAAGGAATTCATCCAAACCAGTTAGTTCGTTCATACAGCAACATTGCCGAATAATAATAATAGCATGTTTACTGAAAATAAGAGGCTTAAAGAACTCAAACGAAGAACTAATCATTCGCGCGAAATTAATTTCATTAATACCTGGTAATCTAACTCGTAAAGACATTCTTCTTCAGCAAAGAAAATGCGTCCATTTTCTGTAGTGACAATGTCAGACACAGTGCTCCCCTCCAAAGGAATCTAAATCTCTCTTAAAACTATTAGTCAGATCCACTTTTTAATGTTCCTTAA